CATGCACGAGCAACCATGAACTGTGCAAGAGCGTAGGGTCATGCTATAGCTACTCTTCAATAACTTGCACGTGACATTCAGTGATTTGCATGAACTTATAACAAATTACAATATATAGTCACCTTAATACTTTGTACATACTTTTCTAACCCTGCCTTATCAGTCGATCACATTGGCGGCGCCGCTGTTTCGCGTATATCGAAAAGTACGTGAAGCAAAATAACATTCTTTTCAAGCTGACAAAAGTACCGTTTGAAGTCTGCAACGTTTTGTTGGGGGGAAGTAAACCTGAAACCCCTGTATAAAACACACCGCTGTTTACAACGTCGGATGGTTGGCACTGGTCTGGCCGCGGCTGTTTTATTTCGATATTTCGATAGAGGCGAATTGATCGAGGGCCGTGTATTGCGTGATGTCAGTGCATGATAAATAGCACTACTTGGTCAAATTTTCGGAGAACTTTACTGAAGAGGCCCTAATAATCATATCATGGGTTTCGCACGTAATACCTCAGATGTTATGTACTGTGTTGAATTACTCTTCCGTGTGTCCATGTTAATGAACCTGAGCCAAAAATAACGACGCAGTGCCCAATCCGTTTTGAGCATGCTGTCTAATGGTTCAATTGTTGACTTGTTAATCTCAGTAATTGAATTTGTACTGATGTTTACGTATTGCAGCCAAGGTTGTCCTGATAAAAGCTTGGTAGAAGACATTTGGAGGTTGTTCCACGATGGACATGTGATAAGAGCACACGTCCATGGCACTTGAATGCGAAAAGTCTTGCGATACCGCAGGCGAAGCATGTCATCATGTTATCCCGGAGCGCTATGGAACTGAAGGCTGGAAACACCGAGATGGCACTTGAGCTAAATTTAGGGGCACCGTTAGTGGGAGCCCCATCAACAGTAGGGTCATTGAGAGCGTGAAGAAACTCCTCGTATGTCAGTGGCGTGCCAGGAAAAGCTTGCTGGTGGCCTGAACAGAGTCGAAGGCGTGCATCGCTCAGTGACGTCACTTGGCAGTGGCACATCTTGTAGGGCTCGCAAGTTCCAGAGTGATAGGTTACTCAGAACTGACAATGATTTTAATACAGTTCATTGACTGTAGGAAAGGACAGGCGCTAGGCAGTCCCAGCGCCGCCACACACCACTAGCTCACCCACGGAAGGGGGCTCAACACCTTTACACCCTCTTCGAATTTTTCAATATGGCATATAGGCATAGACCCGCAAACAGAAAAGCAAATGCCAACATACATATAGTATCGTAAACCCCCTCGAAAAAAGTGCGACTGTTAGCAATAACACCTTGCCAGACTTGTTACGTGACTCTTCATAGCTACTGAGGAACCGCGGCGATAAGAGACTATTGCTTTAGGAGTGGCTACCGCAACTTGCTTCAGCAGTGACGGGTCTATGAGACAAGGGTCAACACCTTGGAGTGGGGAAAAGTGAGAACACACTTTTTTTATATATATAATCAGGCACAGTAACAGTAACTACAATGAGTGCTAGTTGCCTCTTCTAATCAGGCACTACAAGTGTGCCTTATTTACAGTGGGTTTTTTAGACACCATCATACGGTGATATTGTCATGCAGCGCATCTATCATTCATTCACAAATAACTGATGCATTTTTAACAGACCACTGAAACAGCTTTAGAAATTTCGTCAGCGTTCAGGTTTCAGCATCATCACGCCAACCATTCAGATTATAATTGAAAAGGACACCAAAAACAAAAATGATTTTTCACAGCAGTAAACTGATCTGACAAGACTCCAAAATCATCAGTCTTTCCATGAGAACACGCTTGGCAGTCGAGAAGGAAGCGCGCAAAATAAAATGCCACTGAGCAGGCCACATTCACATTCCCACATAAAACGCTGTGATGTCACAGATTTTCACAGCATCTACTACGTGTCACGTAGTGTTCAACACCTATTCCTCCGGGTGCCTTAACACTACCAGGGTTCTTTTTTTTTATTGTCCTGTGCGCCTAAGACGCGCAAAGACCAAGAAGTATGCGGGAAAAAGTAATTGAGAAATATCCCCTATACGCGTATAACTCGCACAGTATTATTATGTCTCCAAGCGTGAAGTTACTGCCTCAGACGCCTGTAGTCTGACAATGATAGGACGGCGAGAGCTCAACGCTTACTGCACTGACCAGCTTATGCGAGGTCGTGCGACAGTTCTTTCACACGTCTTGCACAATGCAGCTGCTTTACAATTCACCAATCGCTTGACTTGTGGCACAAAACGAAGCCAGACCAAATCATTGTGCTCGAAAAAAAAAGAAACCTTGAGATAGGCAGCGTCACACAGCCCACCTCCACACGGACCACGTTGTAACAAAGGAAGATGACGCTGGCTGTCCAACGGTGGTTCATTGGCCAAGACTGGACACATAAGACTAGATCGGTATCCGTGGCTACGTATAATTCGGCGTAAAATGGAGGTGGGAAGATTAATACTTGTTCAGTCGAGCTGCTCCGATCCTCAAAAATTATCGTGCCTAAATTGTTGCAATTACTAACGCAGTAGACGCAAACAGATAAAATTTGTCTGCAAATGATTTTTATAACTTGCCTTACTCGCTCAATACGTTTATACAAAAGCATCAAAACCGTTTCTTGGTCTGTTTAATAAACCGGGCGGCTTCAGTCTGAACCTCGCCTGGGTGTCTTCCCTATGGCCGATAGCACAAGCAACTGCCGGATAAAGGCTAAATGCTAGTAACGCATGAGAACCATGATCATTAAAAAGAAAAGGATGCTCCACCTGAAGGGATCAATTTTGTGTAAAAACACAAAATAGTGATGCGTGTTTTTAATACATCAGACTGACTCAGAAAGTAATTATTTACACGTTTATGACCATTTAGAAAGGCCAACACCTGAGCCCTAACCAGCCACCTAAGAACATCAGAAGTGCCACGAGGTGCCTGTATACGCGGCCCCTGACAAAGGCTCACGCGTCAATCAGTTATCAGTTACTGTGACTATTGCGATTATGTGTTACCTCAGTGTAAATAAAGCATGTTCAATGCTCCACAAAAGATAGCACCGCAAGCGAGTCATCACTGTGCGTCAGCATAACCATCCTCACACAGCGACGGAATAGTGCAGTGACTCACAAATATTAGGCCAATATTAGGGATGATTTGGTAGTATCCACTGATTTGAGCGTGCCGATATTTTTTGTAAAAGGCGCATTGAATTTCCTGCCAAAATGCTAGCACAGAACTGAGTAAGCTTCATAAGCTAATAAGTCCTTAGACTCATAGATTTTGACTCCATTTCCCTGTTTTCAAGCTGACCGTACGTCAAAACACTGAAACCAACCATCAGGCTGTTCTCGATCATAAAGACAACGAGTGCAATCGAGATGTTTTGTAAATGCACATCTTGAGCCGCTTTCTGGTCTTATCGTAGTATACAAGACGTGATGGTGCAAAGATTCTTGCGTAACTGCCGCTGTCACATGTACTGTAATTGATAACGATAATTGCTTCCGCTTGTTTCATATTGTGTACGTCTCCTATCCTCCGCCATGCATGCCAGGCCCATCCATTGCTGGTAATAATAAAGCGTTATGAACACTACTGAAATGGACGAGGGAAAAATATTTCAGCTAGTTTGCACGATTTCGTCATAAAAATTAGGGCGCGAAAACACGGAGTCCACGAAAGATCACAACACAAACGCCAACATTCCCGCCACCTATTCACTTGATTGCAAGCGTGTGTGTTGTGTCAATCTATTCTGCTCTACTCGTGCTTGCTCACCTTGTCTCTTAAAATATAAAAGTAAGAGCACTGAAACCATACAGCACTAAAACGATTTAAAGTCATCGACATGTACTACGGTGCAGCTGTGCAATTTGAAGCCATCCATCAAAGCAGGCTGCCAGCCGTCTCCTTTCAGAGTCCGGTCTTTCTAAGAGACGCCTGGCTTGCCACGTGTCACCAGAAGCACAACCGCCTCTCTAAACGTCAACGGGTATAAAGCACAATATCTGGAAAGCGGAGAAACGTTTGAATGGAGTTTGATAGGTTCACATGCAAGTGTCCCAGTTGTTGAGGTGACGCAGTTCACGCCCAAACCAGTGGCTTCATTTTAACCGACCCGTCCTTGTCATGGCATGCTCACATTCATGATCATTGCTTGATGAATCTCACTTACTAAGTTCAAAGAAGTCGAAAAAAAAAACTAGCATTCACGTGCATTACTGACTGCTGCGTTAACATGATCTTCGCCTGACATTTCCAATGGCTATATCTGACTCTTCCTCTCAACTGTTTGATGAGTTATTTTATGCAACTTCCCTCAGATATTTTTAATCGATGCGGTAGTGTTCATCTTGTTCCAAGGTTAATTGCTGTGTCACAAACTTCAGACGATTGTTCACACCTGTGGCCTCCGCGGAAGAGGCAGCTCCCAAAAAGCCTCTGATTTGCGCCGGCTGGGTACTTGTCGCGATGCTTATGCACTAATGTCTCTAAACATGACACTTTGCCAGAGCCAGTTATCTGGAAGATGTGCGTCGTAGACCAGCGTTTTCGTGCAGTGACATATAGATTCATTTCTTACTCCTACCCTTGACTTCGGATAATAACAGCCCCCAGAGGATTAGCCAGGGGGAGGAGGTTTACCCCCTCCTCTCCTGCAATCAATTTTATAATCTTGCATATTTTTATATATACATCTATCCGTACACACATAAAAAAACAAGCACGTGTAAAGAGCAAAGACACCTCCCTCCCACGGAAAAAAAATGTCTGGGCATGCCCCTGCCCACCACGGCGCATCGGTGTACACCGCCAGACAAGATGAACGAACCAAACAGCATAGTAAGATGCAACGTTGCGCAGTTGTCGCTACCACAAATGTTCAACGTGAGATGGCGTACACCACAGGAAATAGTCCGTTGCGAACGTTTTCTAGACGCGCTGGTAAGAGCAGCTGTCACAGTGCCAATGGCGACGCTTCCACTCACCGTAGGGTGCGCAGGCGGCAAGCAGAGCGCCGAACAGCGAGAGCTTCAGCATCCCCATGGCAGGTCGGGTGGCACCGGGCGTCTGAGCGTAAATGTACTGAGCGTTGCGCCGTTGGCCGCCTTTTCATACCGGTTCACTTTCCGACTTAGCCTCAAAACCAGGACAACGCCGCCTCGAGGGGCCGGTCACGTTCGCCCCCACACGCTCGTTTTTCCCGCTCCCCAGGAATGCCAAACCACCGGCGGAGTCGCCGAAAGCAGCAGCCAGCGTTTGTCGTGGTGGTAGCCTGCGATCACGCAGTGCGATAGCGCGTCGGCGGACGCCTACGGCTTTTGGGCAACGGAACACGCATCCCCGTTCTTCTTCAAATGCCACCTTGAATGCGCTCGCCCGGAAAGCGCGCGTGGGGTGGTTAGCGCAGGTGTGTTTGAAAGCGGGAACACCACGACGACGATGACGCATAACGCAATGCGACGCGGGTTGAGCTTTGCACCCATCGTTTGTTCCGCCCGTCCGTAGGCAAGTGACGCCACGCTTTACCCGAGAGCGGCATCAATAGCATCCTGCAAATCGTGCCAAGCGATTTCCCTTTTCTACTCGGTGTTCAGAGGCCACTGCGTTCAAGGATTTATGGCAGGTGTTACCGAAGAGTCCACATTAGCCACCAGAGTTGTGGACTTACAAAAAATACGTATGTGAATAAATCTGTGCAATTCGAGCACCTATTAGAATTCCCCATAACAGCACCATTTGCGTCTCACCTGACTTATTTCATATCGTGAATCGGAGCATGTACACGCGCCGCAGCTGACATATTGCCCCTGACTCCTGCACTACCGTTCATACGAAAGGCTATCTGGCACCTAGGGACTCCTTCGAGTGGCAGTAATTACTTTGCGGTTGTGTGCTGTAGCCTGAAAAATAGTTCTTGGGAGCCAGGACCTTGTACAGCCATGGTCACATATTAGCGTCGTTTAGGCCTGTCACACATCCTTGATTGATTCATTTGTGGGGTTTAACGTCCCAAAACCACCATATGATTATGAGAGACGCCGTAGTGGAGGACCCTGGAAATTTTGACCACCTGGGGTTCATTAACGTGCACCCAAATCTGAGCACACGGGCCTACGACATTTCCGCCTCCATCGGAAATGCAGCCGCCGCAGCCGGGATTTGAACCCGCGACCTGCGGGTCAGCAGCCGAGTACCTTAGCCACTAGACCACCGCAGTGGGGCTGTCACACATCCTCAGAATGTGAAGGTGTAGTGGACTGCGTGGCTCAAGAAGACTGCAGACGAGCTTCAGCATATGCACGTCTAAGGTATGCTGGTGATGCCCACATAGCTTCTACCTACAACATTTGTGCATTTTCAATTAAAAAGTCAATAATTTCACATCTGCCTTTGCGCAGACATTAACACTGTGCACACTGCCAAATCATTTTCTCGTGCTTAACTTTTTTTTGGCTTTGTACACCTGACGTGTAACCGTATAACACAGCAAACAAAACGCGCGCGTCAATTGGAACCGTGCACATGTAGAAAATAGGAAAAACAAGCAAACCTTTTATCTATCACATCTATGTTCCCTACAAAAATATTTGCCTTCCCCGCTCCCACTCCTTCCCTCCTCATTATCTCGCATGCATATCGCTGACCATGCTCAGTCATGCAGCTACTCATTTAGAGCCTCCAGCATCGCTTATTTGCGTACTACAATGACCCACTATTCTCAAGCAAACTTTGTTGAAGATGCAGTACTGTAACCTGAAGCCAATACAAGGGAAACACATGGCCTATAGACGGCAGGACGCCAAGTTGACGTACTCAACACGTACGCAAACCGCTTCCCGTGGTGCGGCAATGCAATTCCATCGTATTTAGCGTAACCTCTTAGGCATGCGCATGCGCAGTCACGCCGGTATTCCGGAATATATAAAATGATCAGCGTTCGGCAGAACACTGCGGGCCCTAAACACTTTTACTCTCAAGCGCACGCCTGTGGTCTCCACGCGGCGGCATCGTGAAAGTAGGTTCATTTATTTTTCGCACCTCAGGTATCGAAGACATGTTTAGGGAGGTTGTTTCTAATTCAAAAAGTCACATAACAATGATTTATTTTTTGCCGCAAAAGTGAGCAAAATTGTGCAACTTGATGGCTCCACTCGCAATAAGTCTATTCCTGTCCATGGCTGTTTCCATGAAAAAGAAGATTTGGGGGGGAGGGGGGGGGGCGTTGTCAAAGCACCTTGTGTATAAACAGATTCTCGATTCTGTGGTTTGGGCGCTGGTACCTCTCACCTAAATGAGAAGCACCAGCACTTTTTTCGTGTTTGTAATCGACATGCATAACCAATGACGCCTCACTTCGTGGTTTGTACGTCTGCCCAGAACACGTAAGCATGGCAAAACTGGCTTCCCGACGGTGAGCATCTTCGGCGCAGACCGGTTACGATGTCCCGTTAGTGAGCGTTGCCAACTTATTTGCGCCATCCGGAATGCTGCGTGCAAAGGCGAGCGAACGTACGAGAAGGAGGCGGCGGCGTGTCGCCTTTGAATATCCTTCTATTACGAGGAATTTCTTATCACTATTGCCGCTCTTCATTTCAGAGCTATGCGGACATTTGAGTTCAATTTGCTTTTGACGACTGCATCTGCCTCTTCTTTACAATGAATCTGCTGTGTAATTGGTCACTATCCACGCGCAATGTTTTAGGCAATTTCATAACATTCAATTGTTTAACTCAGCTCCAGCACCTGCCTTACTTCGCACTGAGTATTTTCCTATTCAAAACACTGCCGATACAGCTACATTCCCTTTCATATGCGTTCGGCCAGGCATTCTAGAAGTGGCAAGATTTTGTTGTAGCTACTCCTTTAACACATAACCTCATCGTCCACATTTAGATCGTTAATTTTACAGGAGGCCGGTATAGTTTGTGCGCATGGTAAAGATTGCTTTGCAAGCAGGCTCTAGTGAAGAAGCATGCGCCCTGATCTGGATAATTGCCTTCTGCCCTAGTAAAGCTCCTACTGACATGGCAGAGCCTCCTGGATGAATACCAACCATTGTTCACTGACGCCATAGTGTTAGTTGTTAGGCGACACATCCGAACAGCATTCCATGACTACAGACCAAATTATAAATTATGTGGTTGGAGATTCCTACGGCAACATGTTATTACGAGCCATGAAGTAGGCCCGCGTCGATTAATTTAAACCACCTGGGGTGTTTACCGTGTGCCTATATCAAAGAATACGGGTGTTCTTTGCATTTCGCACCCATCTAAATGCGACCATCACGGCTAGAAATTTAACCGGCACCCTCGACCATCCCCGCGTGAGCACCTTACGTGCTATGCTACTTTAGCGTGTTACAGGCAAAATAATCATGACACACTACATTACTGACATGTCCAAGCGCTCCTGCCATCTCTCGGGCAGCGCTCACCCCTTCTGCCTCTGAAACAAGTATTCCGCATGTTTGAGGGGCAATACGAGGTGCACCGGTAGTATGTAAATGCTATCAAGTGTGAAACACTCGATTGCCCTCACATACTACCGTATGTATCTTGCCGCTATCTTGCTTCCATGAAGGAAAGTTATTTATTCGCTTCAGTCACGTTCACTCAGATAGACTTGTGAGTTTGAGTCCCTGCTAAGCGGGCTCTTAGTATGAATGTATCCCAGTATTCCAGGCTGAATAATGTTTCAGAGAGCGTGAGTGCAGTTTACTGATAAATATGCTTACGTGAAGTCGCGAGTGAGCCCGCCTGCGTAAAGATTTGCTGCAAATACTTCGGAGTGAGCCACCCCGAGTGTACTTTTTTGTGAATTTCAGTGCGAGGGAGCTCTGAACACTGAGTGAGAACGAGTTTTTTTTTTTACTTCGTTGAGCTGAGAAAAAACCACCACAGAAGGAGATGGTGACAATGTGATGCACCGAGCCTGTTTAATCACCCTAGTGTATAAAAAGAGACCATTCACGTTCTCCTCTAGCTCTGTGGCCGCTCCTCGCCACATTCTCTCTCACCTTACTAGTATGAGAGGCGCGAGCTTGCAAATGCATTCTGCCTTCATATCAGATCAGCAACATAGGGGCACATTAGAGCCTTAGGTGTTTATGCACTCACTGCCCCAGACTTTGAATGCAGATGTCTCTCTGAAGGTCCCAGTCACTGGAACGTGGAAAGTGTCGGGACTTCTCTCTCGAGCGAGTAATGAATCACTAGGACTCAGTTGCTTCTTGTTAGAAATATTCCGTGTCGCACCTGATTGGACGCACGGATATTTAGATTATATGTAAGCACCATTAAGGTACAGTACCATTGGTACAGTTTTTGTTTAATAGCGCAGACTTCGTCCAGGAAAAAAAAACAGCCAAAAGGTACTATTTCGCTCGTTTGCACCACTTGGCGCAACTAATCAACACCATTATCATCATCATGAAATATTCTACTTTTAAGGGCCCTTTACAGAGTAATAAATAAAGGGGGGGGGGCAAACGCATCAAAAACATCATAATAAATATTATTCAATGCTAGAGAACAAGAGAAAATGTTTGCAAACATACAGAATACGTGATTGAACTTTCAAAAGGGAAGCGGCATGTGAAATAGGCAACACGAGTGGTATAAGTGCACGAGCAGCACAACTACGCATTGGGGGTAGCTTTGGCCCAACGTCACTGCAGGAAGAACGTAAATATTAAGTCGCATAAAAAAATCCTGTCATGTATATATGTCATGTGGCGCGTGTCGCGCTCATGCAACTCTTGCGGCCGTTTCATTCTCTACATACGCACCCAAACTGTATGGCCTGACATGACTTTATGATGAACATAGATGACTTGTCCCAACATGCAAATTACGCCTAGCATATCATGCATAGAATAATCTAAATTTGACGCTGGTGGTGCACTCAAGGTTGTTTCACTTGCTTGATAGAATACAAAATTAGTATGGAGTAACACGACTGTATGATGAACATAAATGACAATTCATGACATAAAAATCATGACATGCACAGTGTGTACGTTATGACTTATGCGGGGTGTTCTAAGAAGTGTGTACTATATTGCTGAAAAATTAGCGAAGGGAGCTATCCGCGTGCTACCTGCGGTGTTCCCTT